TCTTTTGGTTGGCAAATGGTATCCCAACTCACAAGGTGAAGTTTACGATGGGATTCATCAGACCCCCAAATAAAATTCCTAGAGATTCTATCAATCTCATTGTGGATAGATGAGGGAAGCCAACTAGCCTGCATGTAATAGTTAGGAATTGAGGAAAGAACAGAGGAGACCAAAGTGACTCTACCCGCCATAGAAAAAAATTTTGACTTCCAACCAGCCAACTTAGATCGGATTTTATCAAGAATAAATTGGCAAGAATTTTTGGAAACTCTTTTGGAAGAGATAGGGACTCCCAAATATTTTCCCAATTTATCCGTTTCTTGGAAACCCAAAAGATAACAGATGCTTTGTCGAGTCTCAATATCAACATTTCTAGAGAAGAAAACTCTAGATTTATCGGTATTGATCTTTTGACCCGAACGAGCGCAAAAAAAATTGAGAAGATTCTTGATATACAAGCAGTTGGATAAAGAAGCCTTACCAACAAAAATTAGATCATCAGCAAAAAACAAATGAGAAAGGGTAGGCCCTCTCTTACCAGCTTTGGATCCTTTCCATAGTCCCCTAGCCATATCTCCAGAAATCTTGATAGATAAGAATTCCATGCAGAGTATGAATAGATAAGGGGATAGGGGATCGCCTTGTCGAATGCCCCTAGATGGGGTAAGTTTCTCAGTTTTACCACCATTAACAAGGATAGTGATATGCGAAGTAGAGATACAAGACATAATAAGATCAATCACTCTATGAGGGAATTGAAAATAAACAAGAGCTTCTCTAATAAAACTCCATTCCAAGCGATCATAAGCCTTCTCAAGATCCAGTTTAACAATCACATCCCCCACCTTACCCCTTTTATTGGAAAATGAATGAACAAGTTCTTGTAAGATGAGGATGTTATCAGTTCCTTTCCTTCCCGGAACAAAACTAGCTTGACATGGAGAAATTAAGGACTCCAAGATGGGCTTAATCCTGTTAACCAGGATTTTAGAGATGATCTTGTAGGTGGTATTGCAGAGCCCAATTGGTCTAAATTGTTGGACAGTTTCCGGATTGTTAATCTTGGGAATGAGGGAAATAAGGCAGTCATTCCACCCTTCAGGAATGGAGGACAAACAAAAAGCATTTTTAATATCAGAACATAATATCTCAGCAACCACAGGCCACATCCTTTGAAAAAACATAGGGTGAAGTCCATCTGGACCAGGGGCCTTAAATGGCTTAAGTGAGAATAAGGCATCATGAATCTCTTTGTCAGAGGGAATGTCATCATCAACATAAGAAGCCATAGTGTTTGATGACAAACCCCCAATCAAAGAGAAAGAATCATGATAAGAGTGGGCCAAGGAAGATGTAAAGAGATCCCTGAAATAATGAACAATAAGATTAGAGATCTCCCTCTGATCACTGACCCACTCGTCTGTCGAAATACGAAGACAATGTATCCTGTTATGATTCCTGTGTTTAATAGTGGATAAATGAAAGAATTTAGAGTTTCTATCACCATCCACCACCCAATTAGTGCGAGATTTCATGAACCAAAGATCCTCCTCAAATTTGAGGATGTTAGCATATTCTTTGCTAAGCTCCTTTTCTAAGGAAGATAGAAAAGTCGAAGGCTTGATAGACAGAGCCTTCTGGATCCCATTCAATCTAGTATTAAGCTCTCGTTTTTTGTCAAAGATATGACCAAAGGTGTTACGGCTCCAGGTCTTGCAAACAGATTTAGTATTAGCAACACACTGAGTAGTAGAAGAAGTAATAGAAGACCAAACGGGGCTAATCAAGTCTTTGAAATCAGGATGATCAATCCAAAATTTCTCAAGTCGAAATGGCCTCTCACCTGATTTGGAACCAGAATGTTCAAGGTCTAATAGAATGGGATTATGATCAGAGCAAACCCGAGGGAGATGAAGAACATTGGCTTCAGGAAATTGGAGACGCCAATCAGGATTTGCCCAAGCTCTATCAATCCGTTCACGAATAATTTGGCTATTATCCCTCATATTGACCCATGTAAATCTCCCCCCAGAATATCCCAAATCCAAGAGGTTGCAATCATTCATACAGTCAGTATAAGCTTTGACTCTATTTTGGCAAATCGGGTTGCCACCAAATTTCTCCGTAGAGTCAACTACATCATTGAAGTCACCAATGACAAGCCATGGTCCAGTAAAATGCTTAGAGACTATTCTTAATTCTTCCCATAATTGAGAACGAATCTCAAATTG